ATTACAATAGACATGGGGAAATTACACAAATTCATGAAAATTAAACAACACACCCCTGAGTGAACATTGGGTCAAGGGAGAAATCAAGAAGCAAATTTAAATTTCCTAGAATTGAATGAAAATGAAAACACAATATACCAAAATAAACGGGACAAATAAAGACAGTCCTCAGAGGAAAGTTTAGAGCACTAAGTGCCTAGATCCCTGTGTCAAAGACCTGGAGAGTTCTCATATTAATGGCTTACTCATGTGCCTATATGTCCCCGACCGCTTTCCGTCTCGCCAGCAAGAACGACGCGGGAGGACAAATCAGGATCCTTCTGCAGCAGTTTATTTGAAGACTGAAGACCAAAGACCCCGAGAAGTGGGAGAGCTGTTGCTTATATACGCCCCAAAGGTCCCATTTGTGACGTATATGAAGCGGATTGGTTGCTGGAGATCATGCCACGGGAGGAGGCGGGGAAAAGCAGGCTCTTGTGCACGCCCCTTATGGGTGTGGCAGGATGTTTACTTTTAAGAAGGTCCGGATACCGGCATGGCGGCGGAGGCTGTGGCTCTCCACACTCTAAGCTTTGTCCATTTGTGAACTTTTGTGTTCCTGGCCCTCTGTTGCGTGAGGGAGCTTCATTGATGATAATTGAAAGATGCACTCCCTTATGGGTGTGGCAGGATGTTTACTTTTAAGAAGGTCCGGATACCGGCATGGCGGCGGAGGCTGTGGCTCTCCACACTCTAAGCTTTGTCCATTTGTGAACTTTTGTGTTCCTGGCCCTCTGTTGCGTGAGGGAGCTTCATTGATGATAATTGAAAGATGCACTAGTGTTCTCTTCATCCTTTGTTCTATGTTCCATGAGCCTTAGGTATAGAGATTGTATTGTAGATGTGCCACTTAGACTTGGGAAATTCACAGATATCACTGTGTATGACCAGTTGTGGAGCTCTGTAATAATCTCTGTCGAAAAAGAAGCTTCTTTGATAGGTGTTGACTGGGATACTTGTCTGTAAATTTAAGGATCCATATTTTGCACATAGTAAGAAATTACATTTGTCTAGGGATGTGACAGTCTTGGGGTTTTCTCTAAGATCCATGACCTCCTCAGGTGTGTGTATTTGGCTAGGTTTACAGTACCATACACGAGTTTCCTCCCATTGAGTGGGCTTTAAGTCCAATTAAGTAGCTGTTGATTTCCCCCAAGATAAAAAGTGCCACTACTGCACCAATGTCATTTGCTGTTCCAGTGACATTGATCAAATCAAAATCATTGATGTGATTTTTAGGACTTGAAGCTGGGGTTGGACCATCAATTGATGTTCTCCCTTGACCAGCTAGTGTAATGCTTTCCAAAGCTATGAGAGCTAGCCTTCAGGGGAGGAGACTTCCAGGTCAGCTCCAGCTTCATTGCTCCAAATACTGTGTCTGAAGTATGCCCTGTCTTCAGCAATAGGGTCTTATACCTTCAAGTTCTGGGAGGCAATCAAGGGCTGTGGCACTAGCTTGTATAATTTTGGGAGTCTTTTGACTACGCTGCCAACAACTCAAAGGAAGGTTCCTCCTGTCTGGCACTGTTTCTTCTTATATAGTCTTCAGCTATACACTTGGACTCATGTAGGGATATTGTATGTATAATTTTTCAGTAGGTTTTTGGACCAATACGATTCCCTGTTTTTTTTAAATGCTACCTAGGCATTATTTCTTCTCTCTCTCTCTCTCTCTCTCTCTCTCTCTCTCTCTCTCTGTCTAATCCTTCCTTTCCGCCCTCCCCATTAAATGTGTCCTCATTTCCCCTTATTTCTCCCTTGATAATTCCTGTCTGCTATGGTCCTACCTTTGTGAGTTCTTCTTCCCCTTTATCCCTGTGGCCAGAATTCTCTCTGGTCTCCTGTGCTATCAGATAAACCATATAATATATTTTATGTGAGTTTATTAACTTACAAAGGAATGAGTACCCAGTGCCTAGCCCAGCGCCACTGGACTCAGAGTCCGCCTTATCAGACCGTGCCATGCCCATAGCCCTGCTAGCATTTGCTCAAGCCTCCGGGGCCAGGGATCTCGCCCCAGGTTCACAGGGAGTCAGTCTATTCTGTCTTTGAGTTGCTGTGCTGGCTACGAGTTTCCTACACCATCACGCTCTACCAGCGGCTCCTGGTTTCCATCCCCAAATGCTCCCAGCTTCCCTTCCTAACTTCCTGCTCATGTCAGCCCTGCCCACTTGAGGAACCAGCCAATCGGGAGACAATCCCCATACTTCCTTGTATAGCCCTCACTCTCACCCTTTCGTTTAACTACCCCCATTTTCCACATTTCTTAGTAACATCTGTCTCCTACTGTTCTTCTTTCTTGGATTCCTTCTTTCACTTTTCCTTCTTGGCTCCCTTCCATTTT